TGTGTGTGTGTGTGTACTCACTCTCTAGACACAGGCACACAGGGTCCTGGTGGGAGGACGGTCCTGATGCTCTTGTGCTCGTTGCTGTCTCTGATCAGTGTCCACTGCTGCGAGTAGCGAAGTCTGGAGCCTCGGACCAGGTCGCTCTGACTCCACTCTTAGATGTGAGAACACAGTGAGAGGTTTTCAAACGTTGGGTTCAAAATACAGACGCTTCACTATTTCAATCCTCCAAATCTGTGTGACACAAACATGGACGCGTCTACACAGGAAAAATCTTCAACCTGAGATGTGTTTCCTCATTTTAGGTCAAGCCTCCTGGTTTTAAGGATCATAATTAAACACTAGATGACGATTAGAGTATATTTGTGTTGTGCAGTACTCTAGAGTTATTATTATGAATAATTAAACTTCCAGTAATGTTCAATTTAATGCTATATTGTATATATATGTCACTGTCATCTTTGATTATAATGTTCATGGTTAAACTTTAAAATTTCTCGCCTTTGACATCTCTTAAAGACAACTCTTAAATAAAAATAAATAAACTGAGAAAATGTTTTATGTCATAACATCATGTAATGTTTTATGTTATTTATGTTATGCCAAGACCATTTAAACAGCCAGTCCAATGTACGTACAATATTCAGTAAACAACAGTCAGGTTGAACATACAGATCAGCCATAACATTATGACCACGTAGGCACCCTGGTGGTCTTATGTTCTGCAGCCCTCATACCAACAGATCTGCTCTGCACCTGTGTGTTCTGACACCTTTCTATCAGAAACAGCATTCACTGTTTCAGCAGTTTGAGCTAGCAGTAGCTCGTCTGTTGGATCGGACCACACAGCCTTCACTTAACCAGATAATCTGTGTAATTCCCTTCACCTGTCAGGGGTCTTAATGTGATGGCTGATCGGTGTATTCCTGCAGACAGATGGATTTACTCTGTAAACCTTTTTAAACCCTTAAGTCAAGATCACTGGCGTCAGTCCCAGAGTGCCTTTGACCAGCAGGCTGTCACGACATCTAAACAATTGCAGACACTCGTTCCCAGATGGACTGCTTTGTTTTTTTCATGCTGGCTGGTTGAAATAAAGTGAGGATCTCTTAAATGTTCTGCATTATTTACCTGCTGATTCAGGCTAATAACTATGGGTCATGACATTTGACCTTCCATCACTTTTAGGTCAAGTCTTCACATGGCCGTCTGAATGGACAAATGAACAACATGAAACACACTCATAAACACATGGCAGTATTTCACGGACGTTTACTGTGGACACTCATATTCCCCAGATAATAAACATTTAGAGTTTTCCTCTCTCAGTGCAGACAGTCTGTTGGGCAAGTCAACTTAATGACTCCACCCTCAGGACACTGCTGGTAAGGCTCAAAGAACAGTGAATCATTCACTGTGTTCTTTCTTCCTTTCAGCACACTGTGGGGGTCCTTGTGTAATTACACTGCATTACAGATTAATATGGTATATCTCATATATAAAGCCAATTCAGACTTTAGTTTAGTTAACAGTTTGAATTTGCTTGAGTTGTGTAATGCATCCACTGAAGCTCCATCTTCGCTGTGTGATAATGCAGACAAACTGTGACATGCACGTTTACCGCTTCGCAAATGGTTTGCAGGCTCATCAGCGACCATGTGCAGCAGTGTGCAGCCAGTAGGTGTGTCACCAGCAGCTCACCTGTGGCCACAGTGTAGATCCGGAGCTCGGGGAGCTGCTCCTCACTCACATGGGCAGAAACAGGCGTAGGGAGGCAGCTGACCTCCCCGTACACCCCGGTGATTTGTCCGGAAAGGTCCATCTGTGTCTGCCACACACACACACACACACACAGACACACAGCTCACATTTAAGTCACCAGGCTGTCACACCGTCCAACGTTAGCAGCTCAAGTGCAAACTCATGCATCAAACAGTGACGTTACACCGGGTCCCGTTAGCGGCCGCGCGCAGGGTTCACACAGTCCTCAGCGTCGCTGTTCCTCCGGTACCGTTCATTGGGCGTACACGTTAGTCTCTCAATGGTTTTATCGCCTCTTCTGGACTTTATTCAACATTTCACAACAATGATTTTCGCAGCACCAGCGACTCCATGTTGAGTTCATGAGTGGGCGATACCACTTTGGTTCAGTTTGTAGGGGGGAGGTGTAGAGGAGGAAAGTGACCGCAACGGGGCAGCAGAGGATTATAACGCTTACCTTCTGGATTTTCGTGATTTTAGTTCTAAACATCTATTTACTACGGATGACATTTATTTATTAGTTATTGTTTACTATCAGAAGTTTAATGTACGTTTCTTATGTCTATGTTTCCTCTTCTGTGGGTTCATGGTGAAGTTGCTTGGGGCACATTTCATAAGTTAATACTTAAATTAATATTCACAGACTCAAACTGTATAGCAGAGTGGCATCCACAAGTACTGGCACAAAACATAGTGGGCAGCATGTGTTTAAGGGATTATTCACTCTAAATTATAGAGTATATAATATATATATAATAAACATTCACAGCAACAATGAGGTGTTGATTTATGTTTCCTTGTGCCTGAAAGACTGCATAAATGAGCTAATTGGATCCTTTCACCTGGGTTTGAAAATGTAAATGTTAATTGTTAATAATAATTCTTAAATCTTTCTAACTACTGCTGAACTAAACTTACACATTTATTAAAAAGAAAAGTAGTTCATAGTCAATTTTGTCACGTCAGATTATAATAGTAGTTATTATAGTAGTAAAGTAAATTTATTCTCTATCCTAAATAACTATCCCAATAAATTCACAATGTGTATTAACATTTATTTTCCCAGGTGATCTGCTGTTCCCCAAATCTAGTCTAGACAGAAACAACTACATCTCGTTCAAGGACTAACTTTTTTTGGAATTACAAAAGAGACAAAGAAAGTGCTCAAATAATCTTTATTTCATTTGATCCATCTTCTGTCCATGTGCTGTAACACCAGAATCACTGATGAGACAGTTTAGTGAGGCTGTAACATGGAGGCCGCAGGAAACTGTGAAAGCTGATGAGAAGTTTTTACCAAGGTACTGAAATTTACAGGCAGCTGATTAGTGTCCTTTTAAAATTCTATATAATAAAAAAAACACTAAAAATGTCAATACTGCTACTACAATCAGCAGCGCACTGAATTTTAGATGCTGGCCTGACCTCCGTTACAAACAGCACCACCAAACTTTTCTGATCAGCAGCTCTGGTTAGTGGCCTGTGTGCGTATACTGCTCATCAGAGGGGAAATCATTCAAATGCATCTAATGATTCAAGTACACATTTTACCATGACTCCCTATATACAGTCTGCAGCACATACACATGGATAGATAGTGTGACCCACCAACCCGCATTAAAAATATACATGAAAAAAACTTTTTTCATCCCATAATTATGTCTGTAAACAGTTCTTAACATTTGTAAATTTCCTAAAAATCACACAGTACTGCTGTTTTAATAAATTAGAAAGTAAAATACAATTATCCATCAGAAATGGTTAAAACGTATTTTTGCTCTCAAAAAAAAATAGTAATACAAAGATGAAAATATTAACTCTTTGATTTCATATTTAATTAGGCATCTTCTTGTTTATAGGTTGTGTTTTATTTCATGATGTTAAATAAAATTCAAATAAAACACACTCACGCAAAACACCACACACATTTTCGTTTAGGTTGCATTGTTTGTGAAGTCAGTTTGTGGTTTGGCAGCTGAAGCAGCCACTCTGGGTGCAGGAACGGAGGACGACGGAGGGGAATAACGAGGTTGTCAGCCCAGAGTAGAGGAGGGCTTTTCCACAATATTTCAGTGGCTTGCTTTTTTTTTTTTTTTTGCATTAGTTGATGCTCCAACATTAAACATCAGAGATTAACCAGGACTGGTTATGTCCAGGAGAAGTGCTTTATGTGGAAACTGAAGTAAGAATAAATGAACAACAACAGTCATTAGCACCAGAGGGTTTCAGTGTAACATTGGAAGGCTTTCACTGATCTCAAATGTACCATAAAGCTTAAAAATCGACTTCTACAATGAGCCTTAGTACTTTACTTTCTCTGTACTTTTGATAAAAATTAATAAAAATACTTTTTCGATATCTGAAGATCACATTGCTTGTGTGCACATAAACTTTACTCTATTCAATCTAATCCCACATAAAAGCGGTTTAGCATTTTTGGTATCACTGAGGCATTGACACTCGTATTTAGGAAATACTCTGAGCAACTGTTGTAATTAACTCCTGTTTGTGTCCAAAATAAGTGAAAAGCATATGCCTGCCACGAAGAACAGGGCAATTGTTCCTCAGCAAGACTGCCTTAGCCTGTGGGAGCTATGGAAATGTTGGCCATCTTGAATCTTGGAGAATTAACTTGCAGAAGAGTACAAGTGAAAAAGCCCTGTTCAGAGTTTATTGAGTCGTTGTGTGTGTGTGTCGTCGTGTCGCCCGCTGGTGTCTGGTGTCTGTCGTGGCCTTTCGGTGGCTTGGTGTGTGTGTGGGTCTGGGTCTGTGTGTGACAGCTGAAGCGTCAAAGGCATTTTTTGTATCCATCTCAATATAGGCCAGGGAGGTCCTCGCTTACTCGTTCATTCACTCCATCCTCGTCCCTCTCTCACATGACGTCGGCCCGTTTGTCCCTGACTTTGTTCCTCTGCTTAGTCCTGGCCTTGAAGGCAGCCGAGTTGAAAAGATGCTGTTGAAGAAAAATGATGAAGAGCTGAGTGCAGTAATATTTATACTTCTCAGGCTGTAAACACACAGGAAGGACTTTTTTATTTT